TTGGCTCGCAAGCGAAGCGTCTCTACGATGACAAGCGCCAAACTCCTGACAGAGCCCGATGTCTCCGGGCAGTTTTGAAGTGACTTTTTTTTCTAGGTCGTTATATACAAGTTTGTTTTTAGAAGTAAATGCACTTTTGCCCCTGTATATGTAACGCGTGTACTTTCATTTTTTGTCGTTAGTTTTGAAAGCAAAGTTTTTTTAGAAAAGACTGAATTTCTTCAGAGACTTATCAATAAAAAAACTAAATTTTAAGTTGAACGGTAGGCTACAATGGCAACTGCTAATGCTCATTAAAATTGACTTGGATTCTCCCGGACAAATTCAGATAATTGATTGCACTGAAAAAAAAAATCATATCATAATCGACCAATTAAAATATGATACCCATTCATCTTGATTATCTATCTGCCTTTTGTAAAATTTAATACGAAGTTAATGATGCCAATTATTCATTGAAACAGAGTGTATGAACAGAGTTTTATAGATCAAGTTATCAAGTGGCTGTGCTGTGTGTTTCAGCTAAAGTTACGGCGGATACAATAGATCGCAAACTAAACTTCAATAGGGAAAAGTTAAGCTCTACTGACCGCAACCGGCTTTTACTACGTAAATAGCGGTATGACTATACATTCGTTTGTCAAGCGATTTTACGCGTTACTTTTTTTTTTTTTACTATTTTTTACAGAATGGAGATTGAAGCTTTGGCGAGAAACTTTTTTTTTGTGATACACGTTCGTCGCAACGACGTATATTTGCTATGAATAAAACTTTTAACTTTCCGACAACAAAGAATTCAACAACAATAAAATAAAAAAAGAAGGCGATGAATTCTCGTAACAAAAGGTTTTATACTTTCATGAATAAATTCTTCTTATAAATCTACAACCTATTGTTCCGGGAATACGCGTTTTGATGTCGGTTCTTTTATTGGTTTACTAAGTCCACGTACAGATGAATAAGGTGTATCAACCGAACGCTCGTAAACCTATGAAGCGGGGAAAAAAGTGACAGAAGAGCGAGAAAGGTGTAGCCATTATATAGCAATTTAAGAACAAATAAGTCGACGTGCGACGCGTGATAGCGCACACCTCGCACTTTATTATTGGCACGTTCTACTTTTACCGAGCACTTTTTGCCGTGCCTTCGATTGCTCATCATATGCACCCGAACGAATTATTGATTACTACTCCACATTTTTTTCGTGCAATTATTGGTATTCGCGAGCGAGTAACTTTGTACTATAGGCTACTCGCAGATATTGGAAAATTGGGTATCTCGCCATGAATATCGATTTATAGATGAATATGGTTAATTATCGAGCTTTTACAATTCAGTAAGAAGGTATACAGTTGGTAAAACTCGTTGGCGTTCAAAGTCGAGTGAAGTGTCAAGGGTTTATTTCGCGGAAATCAGAGCAATGTGACTTTAATAGTTATATTTTTATCAGCTTTATTCGTGGTAGCTGGTAGGTAGTGATTCTATTACACAAATAATTTTCATCTTCAACATCTACTATATACAAAATTTAACATGATTTTCTTAATGCATCAAAAACATCATATAAACATGCGTGACACTTGAAATATATCAAATCCTTGCGCGAATGTTTTCTATCTGCGTAATTTACAAGCGATTTTATTCATCGTCAGCGACGCAAAAGTCTTAAAAATAATACACTTCGCAAAACTTAGAAAAAAAAGAAATATCGACAATCCTGTTGAGTGCATCAAAAACTTCCGAGTATACATTTTTCCGTCTTCTCTTTCCCCTTAAAACTACTTATTCCAAGTAACTAAGTGCATATGCCCTGGTATATCGATACGCGCGGCCAAAATTTTTGCCGTCATCGCCAGAGCAATCCGGCAAATGGCGAGGCTCTTCAATACACTTAAAGAGAAGAAAAGAGAGAAGCAATATCCCCCTTTCCTTTAAAAAAAGTTGGCAAGCAGAGATCGCGAAAGTGCAGGGAAAGGCTGATTCCAAAGCCAGGGGCGGCATGGAGAATTAAAAAGGGACGATAAGATGCGTTTGCGATAAGACTACCGTTATTACCGCTGACTTGCCGTCGACGAGTACATACGCGTTCGCGTGCCGTTTTCGTAGAAAACGGTGCTGCTACCTAGGTATAGTTCTTGATTTGCTTCTTTCGAGAAATTTTACTTTGCCGGATAAGAGCTGAAACGGCGTGTTCTTATCTTCACGCGAGGCTTGGCGTGGAAAACATTTGCATTGTTCGTTAATTTCAGCTTCAATTTATAAGACAGTTAACATTTTGATAAGAAAAAAAAAACAATTATCGGACAAGTGAATTGTACGTTTGATTTATCGACAAAAGTATTATTACAAAAGTTTGTAGACCCAGGACGGAACCAATTTCTTCATTCCACCCTACCTTTTCACTTGTGTTTTGATGGTTACTAAAAGTCAGTTCCCCCTATCCCACATTGAGAGCTGATTGGCGCACCACAACTTGACCTGTAGATCTCTCTCCGAGGTTCTCACCGTCTTTCTCCGAGGTCCCAGTATAGGGTTTCTCGAGCCGTGTACTCTGATTGGCGCGTTGCGGCTTGTGGAGAGGTAATATAAACAGCAGCCACTTTCAGAGGAAGTGCATTCGATTCTCAACCACTCTGGTGATGGACCGTTTCACTCTTTGTTGTGTACTTTTAAAACCCTATTATCTACTTTTCAACAAATAGTGTTACAAATGTATTGATGTAAATAGGTATAGGAAAGGGAACTCACAAATGATTTGTTTAGGAGCTATTTAACTGATAGCAGGCAATTTTGGAAGTTCGACTACTTAAATAGTGATAAAACTGAGGTTATGCTTGAAGTATCGCGAGCTATTAACATTGGAGTATTTTTATTTATAGTATATATGGACAACGTTTTTGCCAAAACAGGCACTGTCCACTTATCATTGATTTGAATGTTTGCAGAGTAATCTCAAATGATACCGTAAATACCACTCGTATTGATTATATAAAAATAAAAAATCTTGTTGAAAAGATTGATTGGAATGTCATTACAGCTGTGGAAGATCAGGAAACAAGCATGCAATCTTTTAATCATCATGATTAAAAATAGAATTAAACTTGCCATCACTGCTATCGCTCGAGATACGAAAAAAAAGATAGCTTAAAACTTGGATTACCAAAGGCATTATGAACTCGTGCAAAACCAAAGAAATATTATACAACAATTGGAAAAAAAGCACCATATAATTTTATCTTACAACATGAGCACAAAATAAATGTAACAACCTATCACTTTTTCCTTCTATAAAAGAATACATTCTTTTGGAACAAGATAAGGGGAATTTTAACACGCTATCTCATGAATTCATGAGTTCAAAAAATATTACTAAAAATAAGTTCGTCATTGCGAATGTTAATAAGATCCTAACACTTGGAAATAATGAAAAAATTGATACCAAAATATTTATAAAAAAGTTTACAGGGTAATGAGGAGTCTCAACATTACAAACAACAGTAGTAAACTCAAAATCAAAGAATAGTTTCAAACTAAAACTAAATTCCTAATTGATATGGATGTTGTAAGCAGGGCTGACCTGATCAACAGATAGTTTAACATTGCCATTTAAGGAATTAGTCGAAGTAGAGAAATTTACTTATTATCTTTTATGTCTTTGTTCTCATGGTTTCTCACTCACAGTTATAGTTTAAAATTATAAGTTTTGTATATTTCGTTATGTCAGCTTGCGCATAGATACTTGTGTGTATCTCTGTGTAAAGAGAGTGTTCTTTATAAAATACCTTGGGATTATGATAGATTACAGACTGAAATGAAAACACCGTGTAGATTATATTGTTGAAAAAACTAGATATATCGTATTCGTAATGTTGTAAATGAGGAACTTTGACATAAAAGCCTAAAGGATAATTTACTATGCACTATTTCATCGCATTGCCACTTTTGGCATTATTGCCTAAGGAGAAACTTACAATACCAATTTTAGCAGTATTCAGAAAATATCAAATAAGTTACTAAAAATACTATATAAAAAAACAAATAATTTAATAATTCATTTTACAATAAAAGAGCACTTCGTGTTATAACCAAAAAAAAAAAATTATAAGAACCTACTAATGAAATACACCAGGTCAGAAAACAAAACTACGTAAAATAATACAGCCTAAAAAAAAGCACAAAATAATCGTGGTGTTAATAAAACATTAGCTCAACAGAGTCATTACTATGTCTTCTTTGCTTTTTCTCTTTTCCTTTTTTTTTGCGCGTGAAGCTAATTTCGCCCCTCGTAATATATAATTTCAGGCGCGTGTGGTTGGTTCACCCTCCCGCACTCGACTTGCCTGTCGAGTTTCACACGCCTCGATTATTACTGTCTTACACGATCGTTCGCTAATCAGATTGTATTTTATTTACGTATTTTATTTAGTAAGATAACAATGCGAGTTTATTTTTCGCATTGTTTTTTATTTATATGTTATTTGCGAATTTAGAGTACTCTGCTACACAAGTTTACACATCAATGATGAAAACAAAATACCGTTTGTCTTGACTTATTTACCGTAATTTATTCACGCAAAACAAAAACCCAACCATAATGGGAATAACTAATTTCACTTCTGCAAAGTTTAACAATGAGCTTACTCAAGCAGTCATTAAAGTTTACAACGCTCATCGGAATTCCCTCTAAGCGACTCGCAGTCCACGAAACTTTGGTACAATTAGAAAATAAAAACATATCCAGCCGAGCAAACGTCAGAGTCATGTAGCAACTGTGCTAAACAAAGAAAAGAAGTAAGGACGTTTTTGTAAAAGCTGTCTTCCGTATGTAACTGTTGTACATACGTCATACAAACAGGTAAAAAAGACCGCGCGTCACTGAATCCAGAGGTGCGCGGTAGTGAACTTAAAGAGAGAAGGGGTGGTTAGCAGTAGTAGTGCGCTCAACACCCCCGTCTACGTCGTATCACTGCTACCACGGCTCTTCAGTTTGCGCGCGACCGTCGCGGCGAACGTTTCGCGCACTCTCTCTCTCTTTCTCTCACTCTCTGTCGGCTTAGACGTTCGCGATTGTGATTTTACCAGGACTCAATCACTGAAAGTGATATGGACTGACGTTTCATGATAAATTTTCGTTGAAATGTTACACGATTCGTAAGGTAGGACAATCGTTCGTGAACTGCTTTTTGATTTGAAATAAAGGTCTTAGATTATTTCTACATTGATCGCCAACTTGTCATTCTGTTGTAACGCTGAAAGAAAAAGTTATCGCGTAATAAGCCAGTAATAGTGCAGTTTTTACCATCGGCGTCTCTGATTGTTTGCCATTATTCCGTATCCTTTTTTTTGGAATGCGCGACACTAACTCGCATTATGTACTTCAGTTTTTCGATAAAATACGAGCGTCGCGTATTATTAATCCGGGATTGAAAACATTTGTCAAGCTTTGTTTAATAGCGTAACGATATGCGGATGAAAGTGTTTACTTTTAGTAAAATATTCTTCTTTTGTTTCGTCGACGTTTAACAAACAAAATTGTATTTTGGTAAGAATTATATTACATAAAATGCTAGACGCGTTTGATCAAACTTTGTTTTATCGTTAATTTGTCAAACATTTTTCAAGTACCTAAATGTTTAACGTAATTTTTTTATTTTTTAAAAGATGTTAAGGTATCGCTTAGTTTTGCAGACGAGATACACGAGAAATCGTTGATTTTCATTTTAACGGTTGCATCCTCGAACAATAATCGTCTTCCAGTGAAATCGATATCCGTTGAACAATCTATCAGTGACTGTGACAGTAAAACTACCCTAATGGGAAATTAAGCTGCGAGACAGCCATTTACATTAAAAAAAAACAGACTGATTCCTTCATCTTCATTACCCTGCAAGCTTTTTCTCTTCTATTTTTCAAGCGGTGACCTTCATCAAGTTTATCAATTCGGTTTTTCATCAAGCAGTTCCTTTGATAACGCAAAGTAGTTGCTTAGAAGTCGAATGGCTCAAATAATTTTCCTAACAGTAGTGTGCGTAATACTCTGATGTAATAGATTCAAGAGAAGTAAGAAGCAATAATGGGTTGCTTAATTAGAAGAAAAAAAGGCATCAATTTTTTCGTTAGTAAGTATTTTTCTGCTTCTAAGAAAACTATTTATTGTTGTTTAAAACAATAAGTACATAAATCCAATTATTCGCTAATATTACAGAGTACATTATTAAATCAACTGGTCTTCAGTTAAAGACATCATTTGCTAGTAGCTAAGTAATTGAGTCTCCCCAGTATCCGAGTCGCAAACTTTTTCACGCAAAAAAAGTCGAGTTTGAAAAAGAAAGATAACAGGACGGATGAATTAAACAGTTCCACGGATAAGCCTGTTTATCACTGCTGTAACTTTAAGACTGAACGTCAATCAGTTGATTAACCTGTAAATTCCCTTTGAAAAACATGTATATTCATCGCAAGTAAATTTCATGGTATTAAATCCATCGTAATTTCAAGTTGCCGTCAGCAAAGATTACAATTCATATCTTCAACAATTCAATCCACTTCTCGACGCCGCTATTTCAAAAATAATGAAATTTGTTTTTTGATAAAGGTGGTTTCGTTACTTTGCTTCAAAGAATGTCAATTTCTCTCAGAATTTAATATTCAGTTAGTAATTAAGTTTCTGAAATGATTCCGATAGTCGAGCTTATTAAACTTGCAAGAAATTTTACTAAAATCCAAACTTTCCCACGTAGGTGATGGAAGTAGCATTTCTCGCATAATAATTCATCAAACGAGCTCGAAATTATGTAACTTTATTGTAACTTAAATTATTATAATTAAAGTTTTTTCAAACTTCTGAGAGTAAACCTATAAATGAAAAACATACACAATTACTTATTCATGATAACGTTTTACTGGTGTAGGATCCGGTCTCTCCAGATCATTACAATAATTATATCTCACATATAAGTTAATAGATTATGAGAATATTGAAAAGGCAACGATTTTCGAGTTAACAACAGTAAATAAATAAATAAATAAATAAATAAATATATATATATATATATGTGTGTATAAGTGTAAGTGTATAAGTAAATGTATAAGTGCAACCATAACATTTGAATCATAAATTTGAAAAAAACTTCAATTATTTACAATTATGGAAAGTTTATCCAATGTTAATTTGAATTATTATAGTGCTCCAATTGAACTCGATTCTTAGAGCTACAAAATCATATTGTAATTTTCAAACGTTCACATTATAACATAAAAATACCCAGTAAACATAAAGCCAATGGTAAATATTGGATGTAGCCTGTGGTGGTGGCAGCAACGTTTAACGCCTCTGGAATTCCTTAAATGGAGCGTGAGAATCTGTCGGAATTTTCGGCGCTTTCGCCCGAGTGCAACTTCGTGTTATACACGTTTGCGACGTTATATCGGGGAGGGACAGAATGATGAAAATAAAAGAGAGAACGGGCGCTGGATTAAGGTTCGAACTTTTTCGAATTCGCGAACAATTTCGACGACTTCCGGGTTATATCGGCGATTTTTTGGACCATGTTCGACGAAATAAACAAGAGGAAAATTTAATTACGCAAATTACCAGTCGTAGAGACGGCCGAATTCTACATCAGCACGCATCGATAAGAGCAAACCGGCAGGCCCGCCATTATCAAAAGCTGCAGACAATACTCCGTCGCGGAGTGCGGCAACTATTTGTCAGCAGCCTGGCGTTGAGACGCTTGTCCGCGACAGTTGAAAAAGCTCGAGCAGATACTTTTATCTGGCTTCTGATTATCTTCCACAAACGGGGAGGGGAGGCTAGACTTGATTAAAAGCAAAGAGCACCCCTGACCTAAGAAAGCCACCGTCGTCGTGTCGTAAATTTCAAGTCTGCATTAATCGTCATTTTGCAACCGGTGCTTTACACCTTGTCTCACGCTCGTGCTTGTTTCTTTGTCGTTACTCTGGCAAAATCTTTTAGTTTATTTTTCTCCAGTGGTTATGAGGCTTCGGGGGGAGGGATCCCTTGAAAGCATCGAAGTAGAAGAAAAAATTTTGTTTTTTCCGTTGTCGCCGTGGCATCACGAATTTTTTTTATATTCCAGTCGTGAATGGAAAAACCGACGAGTTGATAATGGGTTCGTGCCCGCAACTTTCTTGATATCACGAAAATGACATTTTTTTTTCTCCTTCGTCGGAATGGAATGTATAAAATCGCGTGAAGCGTATTAAAATTGAATTGAAATTCAGAACGCGGGACATGCTTCATGGCAATTTGAATTTCAATTTTTTCCCCAAGGATCACGCGTCAAGTCAAATTATCTCGAGCAGGCATCAATGGATTGATGTTCGTATATAGAAAAGTCACTGATAACAGAGTCGTCAATTGACATAGATATCTCACTTTCTCTATTCAATTGGCGTTATCCAATATACGAAATGTTACTCCACTGTTAGCATCAGATTTATGGATTCTAGCTGTCAAAGAAGAATAGTCTATGCGTCGCCTTATCATATAATTATCTTTTTACTGCCGGATGGATAACCTAAACGTTGGAAGTTACGTAAGAATTCGCCGCCACCTCCTGATTCGCTTCGATAAAGAGCGGCGCATAAATTTGAGTTGTGGTACATAAATAAATGATGACGGGAAGGTGAGCACGATACAAAAGAATACTGGCAAAGTATCATTTTCATTCTCGCCCAACACCTCTCGCAGGGATATGCATTTGTCAATAAAAATATCGACAAAAGCAGAGATAGGAAAAGAAAAGAGTTTCATCCGAACGGTTCGCGTAAGTGATTGGCCTCCGCATGACGCCTGCGCCGGCCCGACTGTTCTTGCGCGTAAAACTGCACGTTGCACAGGCAGCGCCCGCTTCGGCGAAGGAAATCCTTGCGGTGTGGCGACGTCGGAAGAGAGAAAACAACTGTCGTGTGCACTTCGAAGGTGCAAAATTTATCGTCGTCTCTCGGGTTTGAATTTATAAGGGCGCGGCCGAGCGTAACAATGGCTAATTAAAGAGAGGTGGGCGCGCGTGTAAGTTGCGGAGTTTCGAGTATTATCATAATAAAGTTAATTACGACTGCGGCTCAGCTGCTGCCGCGCGTGAATTAATGTGAATGTCGCGCCCAGCTAGACGGAGAGAGAAATAGCTTAATTACAACGGCAATTAAACGAACGGAAAGGGGGAGAGGGGAAGACGCGGCTTCTCGCACGGGGCCGCGATGCCGTCATTGATGACGGGCCTCGTTATTCATTTTGAGCGTGCCGACTTCTTTTTTCTCTTTGCGAGTTTGCACTTCCTATACCTCTCGAGATGACGGGGATCGTTCTTCCTTTGCTTTGCGAATTCTTCATTCGATTCACTCGATAAAGCGCTGGTTAATCAATAGGAAAATTCGCAAATCCGAAAGGAAATAGTAAAACTTCCGCGTGATATATATATGGCTGGAAAATACAATTGACTTTAAATGCTCGGTATGAATTTCATAAGGTTTATTCTTTCTTATGTAAATGCTACTCCAGAAGATTATTAAAGTTTAATTGAGGGTCACGATGAGAGATGTAACTATGTCTTACCCGGGGTAAGTTGCGCGGGCTACATCGGTAGAACGCAATGGAGTCGGATAAGGTTCTGAAGATTTTTCACGCTTTATCGATGGCATTATAAATCCTACGTAACTCTAGACGTAGAGATCGAAGCTTAATACAAAATGCGACAGGACGAATAATTTATTAGGATAGTACGTCATAATAACCCGAGTACGATGTACTTATCTGCCGCGCCAGTATTCGAGAAGCGATGGCTTTTGATCTGGATCCACGGGATTGGAGCTCTTCTTTGACCACATAAGAATTTCAGCGTTGCCCAGTCGGCAATGATCCAAGGGAAGTGGCGAACGCGTTGACCAATGCCCTTCCTTTTTGTTGGGAGCACGAATGTTTCCTTTTTCTCTCGTGTTTTCAAACACGTACAGCATCGCGGCCGCTACGCGCCGCTTCAGCCGGGTCATAAAATGTAGTCCGGTAGTTAAGTGACCGAGCGAAGGGGGAGAGATGAGTCTACATGAACTCCGCTTTGCGCCACTCTCCGAAATTTTTGGTTGGACCTCCTCTAGAGGGCCCGAAGGAATAGGACGCTCTTTCGCGAGTTTTCGCGCCGGGAAACTGCGGATGTATCAAGCAGTTCCTCTCGGGAAATTAACTAGTTCGGCTCACGCTCTTAGTTTGGCTGTTGTGCGATCCGCGTAGCACTGTCTGACTTTGCGTTCTACTGTGCATGCATCTACTTGATATTGTGCCCGGTGTCCATGCTATTAGTCTGTGTCACTGCGACTTTGACATGCGTGCGTACGAGTGCACAGACGTGCGAACCTTTCCTTTGACCGCTCGAGATGACCAGCGAAAGCTACAAAGAGCTAAGGGCAGGGTTGGTCTGCTACCTGAGCAGAGAAAGTGATACTTCTTCTGGAGCGTCTCCTCTCGGTGCAGCATTGTGTTCCACCATTATATCACTCTTAACCGTACCCTAGCGAGGGTTGTCCCCGTTGGAGTTACGTTCGCGTATTCACGTGGAGACACTTTTCTCTCTTGATTACTACTGTCGACTGCCGATCTGGTAAGCGAGCGAACTCTTTTATTGGATTGTCATTCAATTCAGCGGAAATTACACCTTTTAAAAGGTTTTTTTTTTTTTTTATTTTATTTTAACGTCGCTCTATTATGCTCCATCAGTGCTAATCAGCGACGGAGGCTTGCAATGTGTTTGAGAACAAAGCACATGAAACTTTTTTCAGTGGTGCTTGTATCAATCAGCAGGAACTGGGAATCGAACCCGGGCCTACCGGGTGCGAGTCCGTCGCCCTACCGACCGAGCCATTGCAGGCCTCTTTTAAAAGGTTAATTGAATCTTTGGCGAACGTCACACTGCTGTTTAGATGTCGTTTTGATCACTGTAGCTTCAGTATTTATAATTTTATTTATATTTTAATTTTGTTGTATAGTATTTATAAATGGCTTTTCTCCTGCTTCAGTTTGATTTTTTTTTAAACCCGACATATTGTTTCGAAATTCCACACACTTAACTCATTTCCCGTAATTTATCGTTACAGTAATTTAATC